GCTTGTGTAGTTGCTCGTGTAATTAGATAGCTTGTGTAGCTTGCTAATTACCTTCTTGCTTGTGTAGCATAGAAGTAGCTCCCTTGCGTGGCTAATTTGGTTTTAGTAACCTTGTTAGTCACATTGCTTAGTTTGTGTAGCTAAGTATTTGCGCTCTCTAATTAGGCATTGGTTGCCTTGTTATTGAGCATTGCTAGTGAGCTTTGTTAGCCTTGTGCTTTTGCTTACTAGCATGTGTAGGAGCTCTCTTGTTGCTTAAAATACTAGTGGCATAGGTTTGTGTAACCTTGTTCCTATAATTGTTTAGGAGAGCTCTAACTAGCCCGGCACCTTTGTTGCTTAATTGTTATCTTTGCAAGGTGCTAGTGAACATATATAGAGGGGTGTAGTCTTGGCTAGACCGATTGTTTTAATTCCGCACTTGTTTCGGTTAGCCGACGCGATTAATTTTAGAAAAGACTATTCACCCTCCCTCTAGTCCGCCATCTCGACCCTTCAGCTTGTCGTCCTCCATGAGCTAGCACCGTTGGAAGGAGGGGTTGCGTCCTCCGTGAGCAAGAGGACAGCATTGCCACCCCTATGCACCCCGATCTGGATCTAGGAGAGTCGCTGGCAGGGGACGAGCGCCGCCGTCGAGGAGCTGTTTCCGCTCGGGCAGGCTACGCCAGCGCCGCAGGGCAGGTCACGCTACCACTCAGAGTAGGGGCACCGGCGTTGGGAGAGGAGATGGGGTGCCGACATTTTAAGAGGTGGCGGGGTGGTGATTGTGGATCGTGGATTTGGGAGAGAGAGAGAGAGAGAGCTAGCATTAAGGTGGGATTCATGGGCCAGACAGAATTAAAGATTCCACTGCGGTCATCACATGCCAGAGCAGTACTAAAAGACGGCGATTTTAGAGCATATCCAGCAGCTCTCGAATATTTCATACCCAATAAGATGGTATTGGTGATCACCAATACTGCTTGTTCGGATTATTTGGGGAGAAGCTCCAGCAGATCACTAATATTTCATCCCCAATTGAGATGGGTCCCACCTATCAGTGAAAAAGGCTATATTTTTCTCCCACACGGTCGTCTCCCTCCCCTCGCTGCTTCATTCTATCGCAACTGGCCTGCTACCGCTGTAGCTTTTCTCACCCACTGGTCGCCTCTTTCTCTCCCCTGCCGGACGCCGCTCCTCCATCGTGCGGGGGCTCCTCCCTGCAGACGCAGGCTCCACCGTGCATGGGCTCCTCCCCGCGGACGCGGCCTCCATGGTGGTCGTCTTCATCTCCTCCTTGACCACCACCTCCCCCAGTGGCTCCTCCACAGTGGCTGTCTCGCCGTCTTTGAATCCGTGGTCTTCTCGTCGTCTTTGAATTCGGCCACGACAGTCCTGACCCGTGCCACGTCATCCTCGATTCTGCCAATCATCGCCCGGCCCTGACCTCGCGCCACGCCCGCTCCGGTCCGAGTCCCCACCATGACAGCCTCGGGGCGGACCTTTCTGTGAGAAGACACAGTCCTAGACCCCACTGCACCGATGCCGGCGACGACCCCCGGCCGCGATGCACCGGCCAACGCGGTAGAAAAGAGCGGCGGCGTTCCTGGAGGAGAGAGAGAGAGTACTAGGAAGAAAGTGACAGTTGGGTGGCCCACTGTCTTGGGGAGGTCTATGGCAGAACTGCCTAATCTAATGCCTCCCAGAAGTGCTTGTCTTCCATTAGACACTAAGCACTCAAGGGAGAACACTAAATTACATAGTTCCATCGGGCACACCCAGGGGAGAACTCGAAAATCCATATTTTTTCCATCAGGATCACAATTGAGAGAATAAAGCTTACATCATTCTTGACCATTTCTTACATCACTTTACATGTAACATCAGAGTATAACATTTATTATTTATAATAGCGGAATATGAACATGTTATCAGAGTTATGAACAATTTAATTTAACAGCGGAATCTAAACATGTGATCAGAATTACAGCGAAAATAATTATCTATTCATGGTATGATAAAGCATTGAAATGTAAACTATGACAACATATTATAAACTTTTATTTATAAAAACATCTGGTGAGAGTTATAAATAAAAACTATGATCGCAGAGTAAAGAAAATCCTCTCTGAGTCCACTAGGAGGAATCCACACACAAAGGTCAGCTCTAGCATCCACCTATCACCTGCAACAGGGGGAATAAAACTCTAAGTACTCAATTGTACTCAGCAAGACTTACCCGATAGGAGGAAAGAAAAGACTCAAAGGATATGCAAGGCTATCTGGCTTGTGGGTTTATTGTATTTGCAGAAAGCATTACTAAGCGTGCTTTCTTATATTCGATTTTTATTAATAGTCGCATTGGTTCATTAACTAACTATTTTATGTAAGCACATTTGCTACTTTCAAGCAGGTGGTAAGCAATCAGGTTTTCTTTTTCCATCTTTCATCTTTCATCTTTAGTTCTTACTACGGTGCTAGGCACGAAACAAGTCGTACCAGATTGCCCGGCAATTCACGAATCAATGCCCCCAGCTGGGTACCCCGAAAACACACGCCCCGCTTGTACCCAAGGCACAAGCAGGACCAACCCATCACCCTCCTATCCTGGGATCCTAGGTTCCTGTCCAAACTGAGACTCCAAGCCTCCGCCCCTGAGTCTCGGACTTAGTGCGGTGCAAGGACCTCCTCCACAAAAAAACTCCTGACAGTCGGTCCGGAAAGAGCCGAAACCCACGACAAGAGAGCAACAAGTCTTCCAAGCGCCCATACCCAAGTATGTGCTCGGAATAATAAGTCTATGACTTACCTCGATGGCTTATGCAATGACCGGTCCTTAACCGACACAGACAGGGAAAGCAGTGTAACTAAGCTATGCCCCGCGTCCACGGCGACACAACCTCTTACACCCACCAATACCCAAACCATATTCCTGCCCGGTCACTATTTTTCTTTCCACCATTTATATTTTCCAAGTGATAATAATGTAGTAATATCCGACATAATGGTAGTAACATTCTTCACAAATATAAAATATCCCTCTTATAGTTTATGAAACTATAAGAGAGATATGTAAAATTTGTGAACAATATCACAACCACTTTATTGGATGAAGAATTGACTAAAATAAAAGTTGTAGATCTTCATAAGTTCTACAACTTCTATGTTCATGACTTTTTCATCTGAAATCATTTAGTGTTCCAAAATGACATTTGAAGTTGCTATTTTTTGAAATTCAAAATTCAAATAGATAAAACACAGTCACATGAAAAGATGGATAAAATAATAGCGGTAAGAATACAATAAATTGATAGAGCATGATTTTAGATTTTTTTTTAAAAAAAAAATCATCAAATTTGAAGTTAGTACGAGGGAGAAAGACTAGTTATAAGTTTTAGCCAGCGATTAAAAAGAGAAATCAGAGTTTTTTAAAAAATTCAAAATTTAATTTTAAACAGTATTTTGAACTAGTAAATAATTTTAAATGAAAAAATTGTCAACTATAAAGTTGCATAACTTTTTGTGATCTACAACTTTTGTTTTGGACGTTTCACCATCCGAGGTCGTCTGAAAAAATTAAATTTTTAATTTGAAAAATCAAACGTAATTTTCGTTAGGTAGATGATTTCAAATGAAAATATTTGGACATCCAAACGATCTTAAATTAGAAAAGTTGAAACTACAAAGTTGTAGATCTCGTCGAGTACTACAACTTTGATATAAAGTTCGTCTTAATCGGACATCGTATGAGAAACTTATGAAGTTTTCTTTCAGCATATCACTGTCGGTTCAAGCCACGAACCTAATAGTATCAGTGTCGGTTCTTGGCTAAAACCGACAATGATATGAACCGACAGTGAAGACTAGAATATCAGTGTCGGTTGATCCTATTACTGTCGGTTTTAGCAAAAAACCGACAGTGATGGACTATCACTGTCGGTTTCTTAAAATCCGACAGTGATGAGGCCGACAGTGATGTCCAATTCTGTAGTATTGTGTCCACAGCATGAACAGCACATGTCGGCAGCACACGCAGGCACAACAGCTCGAGGGCACGAGGCGGCAGCGCCCATGGCGTGTATGGGCAATTGGGCATGGAGCGCGCGTGGTCATAGCTGCCGAGACATGGGCGCGGTGGCGGTGCGGTGGTCAGCCGGGCATGGCGCACGCAAACGCAGGCAGCGGGGGCACGGGGATGGCTGCCTCAGGGAGCCCGGGTGTGCGGCCACTGTGGATTTGGTGTGGAAGTGGAAGCTGTTTTCTTTGCCTTTGTAGCTTTCTCCCACAATGCAAATATGCTAGCACCCTTCTTCTTCATTTATGATACAAGAATCCAATGCAAAAAAATTAGAAAACAAAAAAATCCTAAATTTTAACTCTGAAGAATGGATCTGACACGCAAACGCAGGCAGCGGGGGCACGGGGATGGCTGCCTCAGGGAGCCCGGGTGTGCGGCCACTGTGGCCGTACACGTACTGTGCTTTTTTTTGTTTTTATTTGATTTTTATAGAGGTGGACAACATTATCAACTGGGTTTAAAAATTCATTTTTCGAGGTGAGACATGTTATCAACAGAATGTACAAATCATTATATGCAACCGCCTCTAAAAAAAATATACGCGATTTCTAGAGAACATTGACTGCGATATAGCAGCCTTAACTTTTCTGAGATTTCAGTTGTCATTTTATTTCGGTGAAAAACGAAATCGTGAGCCCAGCCATTCCGTGGCATGCCAGCGGGGGGTCTGCGCACGGCTGCAGCCGCACACTGCACGCAACGCAACGCGGATTGCCGCCGCAAAACGTAACATGGGCAAAGTCATAGATTCGGCCGGACTCAAGTCTCCAACACACGTAGCCCCGTTTGGTTGACCTTAAATCTGACTTTTTTCAATCGGAACAGTATTTTTCTCTCGCAGCATTTCATAATCCGAGGGTCAAACCCTCGGAAGTTGACTGCCAGGCGCAGGGACGGCGTCTGTCGTCCGGGTCAATCATCGGCTGCGTGCCCTGCGACTTGCTCAGTCGACGGTGGCCTTCATCGTGGCATAGTTGTACTCGGCCAGCGACTTGCTCAGCAGGTCCGGACAGAGAGGGTGCTGCACGTCCATGGCGACGTAAGGGCAGTCGTCGATGATGTCGCGGATCTTGGCGAGCTTGTCCTCAAGGATGGCTGCCCACACCTCGCGAATCTCATCAGGCCGCGTCGCTATGGCCTACGACTACGCGTCAGAGTCCGAGGGTACGTGATGGGTAAAGGACAATTAGGAGTAATAAATAAGACAATTAGGCAGCTTGGCGCATATACAGTCAGTAAAAGATGCAAACCAGCGGATTGGAATCATCCAACACGTGCTTCTCGTGCAACACAATCTGCAGGAGAGAACTCCAGCAGGAAAACTATGCACATCCTGGAAACAAATACCTCACAAGTGTCGAAAATAGATAACTATTAACACAATATTCTGCGTCTTAAGGTTTTGAGAGCACACACAGCAACGACTTGAAGACAAATCTTCCCGCTATTACAGGGTTTTTGAAGGCACGCAGATGCATATGTCTACGTACTTTATTACTTGACTAAAAACAGAGTTGTTACGAATTATATATATGCTGTAGCCCCACACCAAGACATAACACACCTGAGTCAACTAAAATGAAGACTCACAAGCCGAGGCGAAATTCTCCTTGAACAGATTATTAGCATGCTGTTGATGATCACCTCACTGGCGTTGATTATATATATAAACCGATGGATTATTGATTCGACAAGTGTATTGGCTCCTCCCCATTTGTTTCAGACACTGAGGCTGCAGAGACCACCTCCTCGGATAGTGAGGTTGCCGAGGCCTCCTTGTCGTCTGTGACCTCAACCTCATCCTCATCCTCTGCCTGAAAATAATATTTATTATTATGTTGCTGATAAGAGACGAGCAGAAACTAATAGCCTTTAATTAATATATATAAATGAGAACCTCCAGGCCGAGTGCAGTTTTCAGTTCCTCCAGCATTGCAGCCAGCCGTGGATATTCAACCGTAAGTATCTGGAGCGCCCGTTCCATATCCTCAATTTCATCTGTCTGTTGCCACAAGGGTGCAAAGCATTTCCGTTAAATACAACTGCATGGGTGGGTTACTCAAGGCTTTGTATATATGAGAGACTCAGTTTGTGCAAACGAAAAATAATGAGTAACCAACATAAAGTATGAATGAAACAGCACAATGTGGGAGATGGTGCAAGATAATGATCATAGCAATTGAAAACACATTACCAATCTTTTGAGGTCACGATTAGGTATATTTTCATTCACCCGAAGTAGTTCATGTTCCACACGGTCTTCGACGGCATTGAAGTTCTCATGAAATCGTTGCTCCTGTAAACAAGGTGGCCAACAACCAAAAGGGTCAGCAAAAAAAAAGAAAAAAAAAGAGTGTAATTCACCAGAGCTCCTTGAAGTTACCTGTAAGTGCCATATAGGTTCCCAAAGTCTCAAAATACATTTTTGGGCCCTGAAGTTAGTTCAGGTCTCATCCAGTAAACGAGTATTTACCCGACCCGGTAGCTGACGTGGCATGCTAATTCAACGTTTACATGGATCTGAGTATCTTTTTCATACGGCCTTGGATGGAGCTAATTCTAATATGGCAATCGTATCCCTCCATGAGATTTTATTTGAGATGGTTAAGATGCTTTTAATATAAATTTTTCAGCAACATGTTAATCGCATACCAAACATGTAAATCATATTTTTTGTTTTGATATAAAGTTTTTAGGATCATGTTAATCGCGTACCAAACATGTAAATCATATTTTCGTATGGTGTCCCATAAAAATACTTTGCATACAAAAAATCTAGGTCTCGATGAGATCTACAAAATCATAAAAAATCTCAATACTCGGAAGATGTAGATAAAATCGAGTGCAACAACTTTCATATAAATTATCTGACTGCATACAAAAAAAGATATGATTTTTAAGGCGACAAGCTAGGGTACACATGATTAATATGTTGCTGAAACTTTATACTAAATGTTTAACCATCTTAATGACCTAAGTTGACTAAATTCAAACTATAAATATGTAGACCTCGTCTAGAGCTGTAACTTTCATATACAAAGTGTCTTTATTTGACACCATACAAGAAAGTTATGATTTTTCTTTGGCGACAAGTTTTGTACGCGATTAATATGCTACTAAAACTTTACAATATTCTTTGAGCATCTTAATGATCTGCAATTAAAAAACTCAAAACTAGACAGTTATCAATCTCATAAAGGGCTACAGTTTTCATGAAATAATCATCTTCATCCGAGGTCGTATAAAAAAAATCATTTTTTCGAAAACCGTAGAGATCCATGTAAGTGCTGAGTCAGTATGGCACATCAGCTAGCAGGTCGGGTAAGCACCCGTGTGGACTTGGATGAGACCCGAACTTACTTTAGGGACCTAAAGATACATTTTATGATTTTGGGGACCTATATGACACGTGCAGACAACTTTAAGGAGCAGCCATATCAGAAAGGTGTGTAGATACTAGATGGTATGATTATTTCCATTCATAATGCATGGACTCAAAATCAATGACCCTGTGGATCAAGTGGAGAGTACCTTATGTTTTGTGCTCAACAATCTCGATTACCTTATTGTTCAGTGTGTTATAATGGTGTTTCTGATGATTGACTCTGTCGACGAGTCCTGTGCTCTCTTTTTAATAATTTCAGAGGCATAGATTTAGGGTTGAGACCAAGGCTACAAAATCTGATGATTGATAAAGTAGGACCTTGGATGAAGATGATTCTAATATGACAATTGTAGCCCTCCATGAGATCTAAAACTTTTTAGTTTTGAGTTTTTTCATGTGAGAACATTAAGATGCTTAAAATGGTAATATAAAGTTTCAGCAACGTATTAATCGCGTACCAAACTTGTAAATCATATTTTTGTATGTTGTTTGACTAATATACTTTTTATATGAAAATTCTAGGTCTCGATGAGATCTCAAATTCGTAATTTTGAATATTGTCATTTGAGATGGTTAAGATGATCAAAAAATAAAATAAAATTTAACAGCATATTAATCTCTTTCTTGCATGGTGTCAAATAAAGATATTTTATATATGAGCTCTCGATGATATCTACAAATTTATAGTTTTGAATTTTGTCATTTGAGATCGTTAAAATGGTCAGAAAAATAATATAAATTACATACTTGGGCTTGTCGTCTTAAAAAATCATATCTTTCTTGTATGCGGTCAGATAAAGATACTTTTCATATTGAAGTTGTAGCTCTTGAAAAGATCCGCAACTTTTTAATTTTAAGTTTTTTTTAATTTGAAGTTGTTTGGATTTTTATTTGAAGTTGTGTGTATCATTTTTTTTAAAAAGCCTAAACAACTTCAAATAAAACATCTCAATACATGAAAGTTGTAGATCCCATCGAGCGCTGCAGCTTTCGTATAAAAAGTATCTTTATCTGACCGCATACAAAAAACATATAATTTTTCTAAGGCGACAAGCCCTAGCACGCGATTAATATGCTGTTGAAACTTTATATTAATTATTTGACCATCTTAATGACCTCAAATGACAAAATTAAAACTATGAATATGTATTTCTCATCTAGAGCTATAATTTTCATATACAAAGTATCTTTATCCGACACCATACAAGAAATATATGATTTTTCTACGACGACAAGTTTGGTACGCGACCAATACGCTGCAGAAACTTTACAATATTTTTGAGCATCTTACTGGTCTCATTTCAAAAACTCAAAACTAGAAAGTTATAGACCTCATAAAGGGCTATAATTTTCCAACGTATGGATATTATAAAAATTAAACTTAATTATATCTACGAGCAAATATATTTGTGTTTAGCAATGCGAGAAAAAACCTATCAGGACCATATTTTAACGATACAGGCTTAATTATACATTGTCGTATTATTGTCAACTTTTGCTTATATTTTGGATGTCATCACAAAAAAAATTATAGCTCTCAAATTTTATAAAAAGAGGAAAACATATAAATAGTTATTTAGCACTTTTTCTCTCGTTGCAACGCACGGGCACGTTTGCTATTTAATAAAAGGCACCAACATGGACGTGCCTAGCTTGGATTGAGATTTTGCTGTAAGATCGATTAAACAATTCATGGAATGAATTAGTTATTCATGCGTGACGAGAAGTACCTTATTCTTTGTATCATCATTGAGATTCAAGTTCGTTATCAGCTCGCGCATCTCGACTGCCTCGCTATAAATTGCGTTATGAAGGTCTTGCTGATGTCCAATTCTTACCCAGAGTCTTGCGTCCTGTTGTTAATTTTATTACCCGGCATAAGCAGAGATTGACCATTAAGAGCTACGCGACAACTATGTATTTATAATAAATTAAAAAGTAGAGAGCAGATCGATCTTGTTACAGCTATACGTACCCTCCGCTTTTGTCGTTCCAACATCTGCGAATCAGAGTTCACCATTTTATCTTCACGGAATCTTATGATCTCAATGGTTGGAGGGTTGTTGGGTTGCTGGATATGGATGGCGTGCCTCAACTCAGCCTCCACCGACTCCACTTCAGTTGGGAAGCAAAGGGCACAGTCGATGTAAGCCTTGATTCCCTGTCCCTGGAGAGACCGGTGGTTTCCTACTCCAAAGTGGAGACCGATGTTGTTGTCCATTACATCATCCACATCGATGTACAAGGCCATGACTCGAGGCCTTGGCACAGCTCCCTGTACAAATTTTGTCAAATCGATGATGTACAAGCTATCTTATTTAGCGGTAACTGGGCAATGAAGGTTCTCCAATGCATTCAGTATCCTCATTCTCTGTTACCTCATCCTCCACTTTTCTGTCGGATAGTGAGGTTGCCGTTGCCTCCTTGTCGTCTGTGACCTCATCCTCATCCTCTGCCTGGAAACAATATTTATTATTATATGGTGCTGAGAAGAGACGAGCAGAAACCAATGGCATTTAATTAATATATATAAATGAGAACCTCCAGGCTGAGTGCAGTTATCAGTTCCTCCAGCATTGCAGCCAGCCGTGGATATTCAACCGTAAGTATCTCGAGCGCCCGTTCCGTATCCTCAATTTCTTCCGTCTGTTGCCAGAAGCATGCAAAGCATTTCCGTTAAATACAACTGGATGGGTGGGCAACTCAAGGCATTGTATTATGAGAGACTAAGTTTGTGCAAACGAAAAATAATAAGTAACCAGTGTAAAGTATGAATGAAGCAGCACAATGTGGGAGATGATGCGTGATAATAATCATAGCAATGGGAAACACATTACCAATCTTTTGAGGTCAAGATTAGGTATTTTTTCTTTCACCCGAAGTAGTTCATGTGCCACACGGTCATTGATGGCATTGAAGTTCTCACGAAATCGTTGCCCCTGTAAGCAAGGTGGCCAACAACTAAAAGGGTCAGCAAAAAAAAAAAAGAGTGAAATTCACCAAAGCTCCTTGAAGTTACCTGTAAGTGCCATATAGGTTCCCAAAGTCTCAAAATACATTTTTGGGCCCTGAAGTTAGTTCAGGTCTCATCCAGTAAACGAGTATTTACACGACCCGATAGCTGACGTGGCATGCTGATTCAACGTTTACATGGATCTGAGTATCCTTTTTCATACGACCTTGGATGGAGCTAATTCTAATATGGCAATTGTAGCCCTCCATGAGATATGTAACTTTCTAGTTTTGGGTTTTTATTTGAGATGGTTAAGATGCTTTTAATGTAAACTTCTCAGCAACATGTTAATCGTGTACCAAACATGTAAATCATATTTTTCGTATGGTGTCCAATAAAAATACTTTGCATACAAAAAATCTAGGTCTCGATGAGATCTACAAATTTATAAAAAATCTCAATACTTGAAAGATGTAGATGTAATCGAGTGCATCAACTTTCATATAAATTATCTGACTGCATTCAAACTATAAATATGTAGACCTCGTCTAGAGCTGTAACTTTCATATACAAAGTGTCTTTATTTTACACCATACAAGAAAGTTATGATTTTTCTTTGGCGACAAGTTTTATACGCGATTAATATGCTGCTAAAACTTTACAATATTTTTTGGGCATCTTAATGATCTCAAATTAAAAAACTCAAAACTAACGGTTATCAATCACATCAAGGACTACAATTTTCATAAAATAATCATCTTCATCCGAGGTCGTATAAAAAATACATTTTTTCGAAAACCGTAGAGATCCACGTAAGTGCCGAGTCAGTATGACACATCAGCTAGCGGGTAGGGTAAGCACCCGTGTGGACTTGGATGAGACCCGAACTTACTTTAGGGACCTAAAGATACATTTTATGATTTTGGGGACCTATATGACACGTGCAGACAACTTTAAGGAGCAGCCTAAGTCAGAAAGGTGTGTAGATACTAGATGGTATGATTATTTCCATTCATAATGCATGGACTCAGAATCAATGACCCTGTGGATCAAGTGGAGAGTACCTTATGTTTTGCAGCATCCCTGAGAGTTGTATTGGTTTTCTGCTTAACAATCTCGAATACCTTATTGCTCAGTGTGTTATGAAGGTCTATCCGATGATCAACCTGGTTGGCGAGTCCTATCCTCTGTTTTTAATAATTTCAGCCGGTTCAAGGCATAGATTTAGGGTTGAGACCAAGGCTACAAAATCTGATGATTGATAAAGTACTGTAGTGCCAAGCGGTGCACGTACCTTCCATGTTTGTCGTTCCAACAACATCTGCGAATCTGAATCTGAGGAGGTCACCATTCCGTCTTCATGTGTTCTAGTGATTTGAAGGGTTGGACGGTTGGGGTGGATGCTGACTGTGTGCCTCAACACAGCCTCCACTTGCTCCACCTCCCTAGGGAGGCAATAGGCACAGTCCAATACAACTTCCACTGCCCGGAGCGCAGACATGTTTCCCAATCCAAAATTGAGACCGAGGTCATACCTAGTGTTAAATATTCTACGCACAGAGATGAGCAACCATATGTCTTCAAGCCTTGGCACAGCTCCCCGTACAAATTCTAGTACCTCAGCTCCGGACATTTTGAAGTACCTCAAATTCTGGAATCTTCCACCACCAACAATACTAATTTTTGACGACACACCAGAGACGTGTAGACCGAGATAACAGAGGTTCTCGAACTTGCCAAGCATTTCCACATCCTGCTGATACAGTATAGAAAAACTCAGAGTCAAGCTGCAGAGCTTGGGAAGAGCTTGAGGGTTAATCCACTTGGGCAGCTTTGAGAATACCAACGGGAGTAACTTCAGTACACGGAGATTATTGCAATGTAGGACAAAACTCGGTTGCATGATAGGGTCCTTGAAGGCAAAATGTTCCGACATCTGGACTAATATAGATTCTATCTTTTCCAGATTACTCAGGGCCTCTAGAAATCCCCGCACCTCTCCTTCGTCCAGCACAGTTATTGTTATGCAGAGCGTCCTGAGGTTTCTTAGCTTGCCCAACCCCTTGATTAAGCACCTGTCTCCATCAGCACACTCCATCCACAGCTCTGCTAAGGATGTCAGCTCGCAGATCCAATCCGGCACTCTCGTCCTGTCATCAGCACGTAGGCACATTAATTTTGTAAGCTGCTTCATACTCGTCGATAGTTCTTCTACCCCAGTTCTAGTCAAGTCCAGTGTCTGCAGAAACTTAAGATGCCCTATTTTTTTAGAGAGCTCACGGATAGGTGTATCCACTAGCGCAAGGTACCTCAGATGAAGTAACGTCCCCAGATACTCTGTATCAAGATGACCTTCCAGAGGACGACAACCCTCTAGAGACAACACACGCAGCAATTTAAATCTCGAAACAGGGGGGATGTTGTCTGTAACGCACCATATGGCATAAAATGATCTCAGTTTTGGCACGTCTCTATCATTAACTTCAATATGTTCTGCCCGGTGCAAGGCTAGTCGACGGACATCACTTCCTTGTGACCATTGCTTACTATCCTGCACAGCAAAAAAGTTTTCATCCCTGGACAGATTACGAATCATATGAAGTACCATGTCATGGACACGACAACCATTTAAAAAACCATAGTGCCCCACTGGTTGGATCATGCCTCTATTTATGAGCTCAAGGAAGTAGCTTTCTCCTACCTTAAAAGGCTCTTTTCCTTCTTCTGTCTGGACTAGACCTTCAGCTATCCACCTGTAAATTAAGTCACCATTGTTGATCCTAGAATCTTCTGGATACACAGTTAGATACAACATGCATGTCCTTAGATGACAGGGTAGATCGTAGTAGCTGAAAGATAATATCTTCTTCATATTATTAACTTGTGGGTCATCTCCATGGCCAAAACCAACTGAGTCATACACATTGGACCACTCCTCTATTTGTTTCCCAGCCAACAAACTGCCTATTGTAACAATAGCTAGTGGTACACCATCACATCTATGCAATATTTTTTGAGATACCACAGCCAATTCATCATTGTTCCCTGGCCATTTTTCTTCTGTGCCAAATGTTCTTGTATATAATAGTTTTCTTGACTGGCTTTCTGGAAGCTTTTCCATTCTATAAACTTTGCCAATTTCTTCAGAGACTTTAGAATTGCGAGTGGTTGCAATTATTCTACTTCTAGGATTACTGTCCACGAAAGCATTTTTAATGACTTTCCATGTTTTTTCATCCCATATATCATCGATAACGATGCAGTACCTGTACATGAAAGGGCAAGAGCCATGAATCAATAAAAGCAAAATAACTGAATGGTGTTCCCATAATTTATCCCAAGGGTTGAGCACACCTCTTACATTCTACCATGTATCCTAATAGCTACCAGTATATGACAATTTGCATAAGGCACCCGCCGTGTTGCTGCATGTTATACTAAAAATATATACAACTATGTAAAAAACCATTGCTTGATTGGCAAAGCATTATGTTTTAAATGAATGCTTTGATCCTGAGATGCTACAAAAATCAAGAATAACATGTCTTAAAAAAGAAGTCACGACTTTTTCTAGGATTGCCCAGATATTAACACATTAAACGGAAAAAAAGAAAAATTTACTCCGTTTGATTTTCAGAACATGTTACGGCAATTTGCATTGGTTCATAGGTGTCATACCAAATCTCTATACCTAAAAAGACCATAACATCATCCTCTACCATGCTCATGCGTCCAATATGGAGTCCCGATCCACGTCATTGTCTCCCCAGAGCTCATGCATCCCTGTCCGTGTGCTTATATCATCCGGTGGTGCAGTTCAACCCCTACTCGGACAAACCAGCATCAATCCGTCTACGTTATACCTCCTCTGCATAGAAGGCCTACGCCACAAGATGGAACTCCAACTCTATGCATCAATTCCTGGAGAAGAACTAAAAGCAGACCTCTGGCAAAAAGACCATGAACCTTGCCATCCGTGCACTTGTCACTACCGGAGATGGCTTCTTTGCCGAGTGTCCCACACTTTGCCGAGTGCTTTTTATCGGGCACTCGGCAAATAGGTTGTTTACCGAGTGCCAGAGATAAAGCACTCGGCAAACAACTGAAACTCGGCAAAGAGGTGGTTTGCCGAGTGCCGAGCACTCGGCAAACAATAACACTCGGCAAAACTGGCTTTGCCGAGTGTTATTCTCCTGACACTCGGCAAAGGGCCGCCGCCGTTAACGGCTGGCAGCCGACGTTAGCCCTTTGCCGAGTGTCTTCTTCTGACACTCGGCAAAGTAGTGATTTGCCGAGTGGAATTTTTTTGACACTCGGCAAAGCGGTTATTTGCCGGGTGTCATGTTTTGACACTTGGCAAACTATTTTTTTCACTTTTGACCTCCAAACTTTTTCTGGAGTCCTCATACAATACCTGGTGCTCCATGTTCCAATGTGGCATATTTCTTGGACTTTTTCTATATTTCTTTAATTTATTTCATTTAATTGAATTTTCTTGGATAATTCAAATTATAACCGCTAGTCATTCGAATAATGAAAAAAATGAATGGAAAAATGATATTCATGTTATTTAGTATAATGTGAGGCCGTATCCAGGACCAGACCACCAATTTCGAACATCTTGTTCACGAAACATGACCACGAACTCGCGGTCGAGTTGTTTTTAAATTTTATAAAAAGCAAACGAAGTCCGAAAATCATAAAACTTGTCAAGATGTCATGATATCATATGTGGAGGCTGTGATAAAAATTTGAGAAGGTTTCGCGCAAGTTGTCATGTACGATGCTTGCAAACCGAAGAATCTCCGAAGAAGTTTCATGATTTCGTGAAGAGGCCTACAAGGTGGTAATCATGGTATTATTTTTATTTTCTTCCAGTTTAATTTAGCTACAAACCTAATGAAGTCTTGGTAATCATGGTATTTTTTTTTTGTTGCAACGCATGGGCATGATTCTAGTATAACTTATAAAACAAGGTATGATCTATACCATTGATTGTTATAGTCATCCAAGAGTCTTTGTTAATCCCAAATACAGCTTTTATAATCTCAACAAAAAAAATATCTCTATCGTTGATAGCCGAGATCAAATGATGAATCCAAATATTTAATATCGAACACAACTAATATGGTTGACCAAATTAAGGGATACATAAATCGAACATTTCATATCAAATATTACCATGGAGTACTTATCTATCCAGGAGTCCATATACAATAATACTCAACCTATTCTTAAGATGCAATCTAATACTACTTGGATGTGTCAACCATAGAGTCCAGCTCTGCTATTACATTTCTTTTTTGATCTAATTGATGTATACATGATTTATTAGATGCTGTAAATTTTTTTATTTTTTGCAACATTAGATATGATATAATTGAATGTTCATCTTTATATTATCTATTGATGCCTACGTTTATAGCATAACGTGATATATTGATGCAAACGTGAAACTTTGTGTATGTGCCAACTTTGCCTACATGTCCAATGTACATTTTTTTGAGAAATATGTCCAACGTACATGAAACATGTTATAAAAACATACGTGAAAAGTCATGGCCACATGGGCTTGGTGGTCCGTTCGGTCGCTCCCTGCCGACCTCGCGCTCTCTTCCATCTGCATCCTATCGCTCGCCATACAATTGGTCGCACCCTATAGCTTCTGTATCCAGGATTTGACAATATTTTTTTTTCATTTACCAGGTTAATTAATTAATTAGTTAATTAAAAAACCTAAAAAATCAAGGGCTCATATTTGTTTGGGGTATTACCTCTTACTAAGCAAAGGGAGTACCATGCAATATTGTTAAAACTTATCATGGTTGCAAGCGGAGGATGGTTGAGTACCTTAGTCACATTGTGCTAGATGAAGAGGAGGATGACAAACTTATGTTGGAATCCCCTCCACTCCATTATGTCGTGTGTGGAAAAACAAGGAAATTTTGAAGGGATAGCCTCATGTGCCTTCTTCAGTCTTGTAATTATAGACAAATAGTTGTAGAGGGGGCGGGTATGTACCTCACAGATCACTCTACTGTGCATAATGCAGTTGGTTATCGGATAAATTTTTACTCTTGATCAGAACAGAAATTATTCATCAAACAGTGTTTGACTGACAAACGAAGGGAGTGGTCTAATAGCAAATTTGTTAGCTCGACGGTAAATTCATTGCTCTGGACTTACTTTGAAACATCACAAGTTTCTTGTAAAAACTGACATTGGTTACTACAACAAATTTGATTTTCAGAGGTGGGCCACCTGATGCGACTACCACTTAAGATAGACTTCGAAAGGCAATTGGCTTAGGTGGCCTTCTTTAGAAAATCGATTTTTAAGAAACTATTAAGTAGAACAAAAATAGAGCAGGTTATTAAACTCACGATATATACAGTAGAGACAGACCTATGAAAATTCAGTTTCTACCCCTTCTGAAAATTGATACATACAGTATAGCCGGAGGCCCTTAGTGGACCACCATAAAAATAAAATGGGCCTACACAAACCGTTTTTATAACAGTTAATAATTATCCAAAAGATCGTCTATCCCCTATATCATCGAAAGGCATTGAAGTAGCTGGGCACATGATAGATGCGAAAGCTGATAATCAGTAAAATAACCTGCAACATGTATAGAGACCCGAATGATGCATGCCTCTTTAAGTAGTCTTAAAGTATCAGACTAAAAGCACTGATCAATTATAGTGTATAAAATTTTTTCAATAGCATTGGGTAGGTAATGTGTACCTTTTTCCTTTGATGAATTTACGAAGTTTAATGATGAGCTGCCATTCATCCAGTGGCATCAGATCAGGAACGGTGTTCCTTCCATTATACTGATCAGAGAAGGGTTTCTCGTCCTCACCATCAATGAGATCAATTAGAATGTCCCTCAGGACTTTCTTTGGGTCAGGATTACGGCCCACTGGAACAAAAGCACCACAATCAAATTGATGATAAACCTTGTCATATACTGCCTTGGCAAGAGTGGTCTTGCCCAATCCTCCAAACCCAACAATAGAGATAATTTTCATCTCATTGCTGGACCTGTCACCCTCACGTATGGACAGCATCTCAATGAGTTTATCCCTTGGCTCATCGATGCCAACGAGCTGAGATGCTTTTGTGTAATAAGCTGAAAGGCGAGGATCAACAGTTGTTGCAGGTGCAGGATTGGCCACAATATCATCAATTTTGTACCTGGCATGCCTGTCGGCGACCTCCTGAAGCTGCTTCTCGATGTCATCAATGGCACCAGTGATGTCGCGACGAGCCTTGAACTTGCCAACCAGGCCACCCATCTTCTTCACTGCACGTTTGAGCCTGCTGCCGTTTACAGGCTCCCCACCCTCGACACGCACGAGGAAGGTGTCGAGGACATCCTCCATGTCATAAGATGCATCCCTAACTTGGCGAGCCCATACCTTGACCTGCTCATCGAGCTGATCCCACGGCACTGCCGCCACCTTGCGGAGGGCGGCCTGGATGCTCTCCAGCTCCCGAGTGACGAACTCCACCTTCCTCTTCACGTTCTTCTGCAGCTCGTATTCAGATTGGAGCAGCTGGAGCAACTTGGGGGCGAGCTTGCCCATCGCCCCCATGACCAGAGCCATGGTGGGGATCTCTCAAGTTGAATCACTCAAGGGTTCTGCTTGCTTGCTTTGCTCTCAAGGTTTGTTGCGCGCTGTGGATTAATGCTCTTCTGTATGCATACGTGAAAAGCACCAGGGCTTGCTGGTCTCACTCACTACGTGAAAAACGGTTTGTAGCAATGGGACAAATTTTTTTAGGGGCGGCTGGTGATGGAGCCGCCCCTACAGTGGCGTGCTCGGGATCCACGAGACCAGACGCCCCTACAAATGGAACAGCAGGGGCGGCTGGTGATACGCGCCGCCTCTATAAATAGGTAGGATTTGTAGGGGCGGCTTACTCACCAGCCACCCCCGGTGTTGCTATTTGTAGGGGCGGCTGGTGATTGAGCCGCCCCTACAAATGCTGCGACGGAAAACTTACGAGCAACCTGGGCCTGGGCCACGCCGTCCTTTCTACCCACCCAAGAGGCGCTAGCACTTGCATGCGTATAAAACAGAGGGTGCACACCGGCTAGGGTTTGGCACCCGCACTTGCCGCCACTGCCTCCTTCCCGCCTCGCCACAGCAGCCTCTTCCCAAGGACTCCCGCCCGCTCCGTGCCTCCTCCTCACCTCCCTGCTGCTGCTGCTGCTGCTGACCTCCACCTCCTCTCCTCCTCCTCCTCCCCCTCCCCCCCCTCCACCACCACAGCCCCGCCTCGCCCGCTCCCCTCCGCAGCCTCCACGGGCCCCGCGCCGCCTCGCTATGCTTCCTGCTCACGGATCCGCGGCGACGCAGACCGCCTCCAGCGCTTCTCCTCCTCCACCTACCACCCCATAACGTCTACCTCCTCTGCTCTACCACGCTGCCTCCACGGACGACCACGCAGGGCTCGCTTCAGCCTGCTGGCTGCCCCGGCCGCGCCAAACGTCCCATGTCGTCGGGGACCCTGGTTCGCCAACCCGCAGGGCCTCCGCGCTTCGCCATCCACGCTGCGGAGCGGCTGCTGCTGTTGAGGGTCAACCGGGCTGGGACTGGTTCGTGCACCTCGACGCCGATGAGTACCCACTCGTGACACCCGATGGTGATTCCTCTCTACACCTATCCTGCTACATTTTGGTGTATATATGCGGTAGAGTTCCTGAGATTTTTTATGTAGATCTAGGTATTTGGGTGATCAAAAGAGTATTTATCTATATCTATTTTGTTTTAATAGATTGTTAATGTTTGCATGAAATGTTCCGTAGTTTGTTTAACATTGATAGATCTGTCTGCAACTCTGGATTTGGCGTTATCAAGTAGGTGAATCAATTTATTGTACATGATAGTTCCCTTTCAGAAGATCATGCTAATGCATGAGAATGGATATAGAAAGGTTTGAAAGAATGGGGCTAGGATGGCTTTAAGGAATATAACTCGTTTTTTTGGTAGGTCTCTAAAGGAACAGGTTGAAACTAAATAATCAGTTTGTTGTATCATCTTATGCCGATTCACCAAGGAAAAAAATTCACTTCATCTATAAAAGCATGCTCATGTTAGTATTTTAATTGAATTAACACTCCCAACAATTAATGGAAGTGTCACGCTAGAGTTTGTAAATAAGATTGTATTAGCTAGCTTTACTCCTGGCCACTATTTTTAAATTTCCTGCCCCTTTTTTTTAGTTTGGCAATATTGCAATTAGAATGGGGGACAGAATTTGTCCCACAAAGAATATTGTAGTCTTAGTCAACCAATGCTTTCGATTGGTTTTCATTGAGCTTGGGCAGCAGATTTTTTTTTCTAAGGTTTATGCTATTACTGCCTACTTGAGTCCTATGCACCTAGCATGCATTTATGAATGGAGCTTGAAGCCATGGGAACTTGCTACTTTAATCTTATCAGGGTTTACGATAGCTGTTTGTTACTTTTACTCATTTATGTCATAAATTGTTGACAGCTAGTGGAAAGGTATTAGTTTATGAAGGTAACTTGATTTCCAAATTGTTTGCAGACCTCCTGCATGTTTTTTCATACCTACCGAAGGATCTCAACTTCATTCAGCATACTAGCTATATTGGTTGGAAGGAGTAAGGGCACATCATTTTTGGTTCTAGTCTCTCTCTCAATTTAGGGCTGGAAGCTATTTACATTGTCTGTCTGTCTCTGCATCCAGGGAAAGACAAATAAGGCCAATCATCGTTGATCCTGGTCTATATCTCCCATCCGGGAATGACATTTTTTATGCCACCCAAAAGCGTGATCTGCCAAATGCTTATAAACTGTTTACAGGTGAGGGAGTACTGTCTTTAATCTATCACTACCGCATGACTCACACTGTTGACCAAGAACAGTGGTGACACCGTCCAATTATTCTGTTGTTGATGCCTGTTATATGATTACCAGAGCAAAGCATGCTTTTGTGAAAAACTACCTCTGTTGTTACCCAAAAAATGATTGCACTCACTTTTTTGAAACTTAGCCACAAATATACAAAAGGGATATTTAGATTTATAATCTGGAAATTCCATCATTAGATTTTTCACCAAGTAATGCCCGAGGTTTGTATCGTCCAAAATGGTAATTAAGTGAAGATATTTTGGGGTGGGCATGGGTTTGTAACCAGTTAACTTTCTTACGTTGATTATCATTCCTTTACCCAGGTGTGCATTTGTGCTACTGAACAGGGGAGGGGTGGTGATAGCAAAAACTGTAGTGATAATGACTCCCACAAGCAAACTGAAAACATTTTCTCCGGAGGGTACTTAGATGAAGCTGATGATAGTTTTCCCTGCCTCACTCAGAGACGTTGACATGTTGCTTCTTTATTTCAATTTGCTTGTCCTCGTTGTATTTTAAGCTTATCTGTTGATCAAATTTAGGATCTCTGTTATCTAGTATTTTTTTGAACACTGCAACTATTCCTGTTTACATCTGTGCCTGATTACTTAATTAGCAAAGTAATGGTGAATGACTCAAATCGATTTGCATATCTGGTCGAATTTGAATTGTAAATTTAAATTTTTTTAGCCGAAAAATGAACTGTAGGGGCGGTTGGTACTGTAGCCGCCCCTACAAATCGATTTGTAGGGGCGGCTACAGTACCAACCGCCCCTACAAATCGATTTGTAAGGGTGGTTTGGGAACCGCCCCTGCAAATGCATGATTTGTAGAGACGGTATGGTAGGAGCGGCTGGCTGAGCCATCTCTACAAACGATCTCCAGCCGCCCCTACAAATGCATATTGTAGTAGTGACTCTCTCCTACTCAGTGACGGTTCGTATTGTTTTCTCCTTGGCACCACTACCCCAGATCTAGATATCACTGTCGGTTCCAAAACCCTCTTTACTGCCGGATTTTAAACCGACAGTGGCATACCGGCAGTGATGGGGGGTTGACATCACTGTCAGTTCAAAAACCCTCTTCACTGTCGGATTTTAAACCGACAATGGCATATCGACAGTGATGGGGGGTTGACATCCCTGTCGGTTCTTAAAAACCGACACTGATCTACAGGAAACAGTGTCGGTTTCTAGCTCCACCCGACAGTGTCTAGTTGAACAACACTGTCGATTTGTAGTCACAACCGACAGTGATGGTTGCTTCAAGTGTGTTGGTTCTTGGCTCAAGCCAATAGTGTTGAGCAAGCCTACACTATCGGTTCATGGCTCAAGCCGGCAATGTTGAGCTAGCCAACACTGTCGGTTGATGGCTCAAGCCAGCAGTGTTGAGCAAGACAACACTGTCGGTTCATGGCTCAAGCCGACAGTGTTTTGCAAGACAACACTATCGGTTTGTTGATAACCGGCAGTGTTTTGCAAGACAACACTGTTGGTTCGTTGCTAACCGGCAGTGATGGCCCATTCGCATTTTATTGTTTTATAATTGATTTTAATTTATATTTTTTCGTGGAATCAGGTTTTGCTTTATATACGCTACGTAGACGACAGGTCCATCAATACTAAACATTACAAATGTTACAGTTACAGTTCAAATGTTCTTATTCAGATCTCGATCCCTCAAAATAAAAAGAAATGTTCTCGGACTTCACAGATTGTGCAATGCTTCTCGGACTTCTTACAATAATCTGGCGAGCCGCTCTAGGCCATACTGGTCCTTGTACCTCACGGATTGTGCAATGGAAAATACTCCATCTTTTTCCAATACCTCGGCTAAGATGAATTTTACGAGCTCCGATTGCAGTGCGACGATCTCCATGTCTAACAGCCTTTGGTGGTTATATTTCTTGCGCTGTCGTTCAAAAAAGATGATATCCAAAGAGGAACAGTAAATTATTTTGTTGAATTATTAACAGACATAAATGAAATGAGGATTATACACACCAACTTATCGGCTTCTTCCGATTTCCCGCCGATGTAGCGAAGCATTGCCCACATTATATAAAACCCGCATTCATTATTTCCCGCCGGCTGTGACAGGTACTTCCCCTCCATTTCGACAACCTTGAATGGGACCGGCGGCCCACCGATATGTCTTCTTCGGACACTAAGCAACATTAAAGGGAGAAACATTAGAAAGCGGTATGTGTGATTAGAAAATAATATGTTATTAGGATCACTTACTAATTCAGCACTGCCACCAGTGCATCCAGATGATGAAATGGTTTTTTCTTCGAGTCCCACACCTCGATCAGATTTTTGGCAAGATTGACACAAATGAAGACGAAATGGTTGCTACAATCACAAAATCCTAATTATCGAATAATCTTAACGAAAAAAGAAGCATAAAATTAAAAGCCGAGAACACATACTCGTAGTTGTAGGCTAGAAGTATGTGTGTTTTCTTCTTCATCGTGAATTCATCAAAAACAGCAATCAATCTCTGTTTCAGGTCTTCCACATCACATCCATAGAGGCCTAGACATGTCCTCTCATTGACTCACAAGGGGTCCAAGAAGCCTATGTAATCCCATTTGCTTTTTAGAATGCAAAATTTTGCTATACGCCTACATAAAATCATGGGAAGTGCTCAAAAGTTAACAATTTATCTCGAGAGAGTAGTTAATTGTAATATCGTGCGTGTAGGTTACTTACATAGTCCAC